CGTCAAGGGGTAATGTTCCTCCTCCGCCGCCAGTGTCATCGACACTTGTTGTTGACGAAAGACTTTGCTAGGCTGGCCCTAGGTTTGTTAAGGTTAAACCTATAACCGCCAACCCGCAGCCTTCGAGCCAAACTAACAGGAAAAGGAATCATTCCCAAACCACCTACCAGGACAACCTCCGTGTAGCGGTCATCGACCAAGCTGAGCCGGAACGCAAAATCAGCGAAAGTCGGTGGCTTCTCATTGAGGACCTCTGAGAGAGTTGGTTTTCCTATGGGAAGATCCTTCACGGCTACAGTTCGCAGTGCTACCCTCTACAAAGGAGTGAAGGTCATCTGCTGCGAGAACGAGGAGTCCAAAACCTTCCTGTAGTAGCTGGCTTTCAAGGGCTTTGAGATGGAAGAGCACTTGCTGCTGTATCTCTAAAGGAAATTCCCTGTAGGAGAATATTGACAGCATGGGTGCCACCACCCTAGGGGATCCGACACGCGTGCTGACAATATTAGGAAAACAAAATCCCAACCTCAGTACGGAGAGTTGGCGTTTAGTCGGCTCAAGTACGGGGGGGGGGGGAGGTCTGGTCGTCAAAGTATCTATTGATACAGCTGGCCAGGACCACCTTCAGGCTCGTGGATAAAGCTGCACTTTGGCACATGAGGGATCCCAATCCGTCCAACGCCGACGTAGCAGTAGGAGGAAGAAGCCGCAACTGCTCAAAGTTGTGCATATTAATCTGCACCACGGTAAGACAGCCGCAGCTGAACTTCTCTTGTCTCTCACCAAGTTTGAAGTAGACATAGCCCTGGTCCAGGAACCTTATATAGTCAAAAATAGGTGACTTGGCTAGGGAGTGAGCGGTACATCACCTATGCTACATCCAATGGAGAAAAGGTTAGAACGTGTATCGTCGCTAAAAAGAACTTAAATTTTATCTTCCTAAATAATTTCAGCGGAGGAGACGCCACGGCGGGTTTGCCTCCATTTACCTACCCTTTGAGTACCCCAACCCGCCAGGAGAGTAGTAGAGAGGCTGTTCACGGAGTTGGGAAACAGAGGCAATCTCGTCGTTGGATGGATGCTAACGCTCACCATTTTAAATGGGGTACGAACGCAAGAGGTGAGTACATTTTTGATTTTATTTTAACACATAATCTCAAAATATGTAACAGGGAAAATGAGGCAGCTTTTAAAAATAGGAATACGGAGCAGGCTATTGATCTCATCCTTACTAACTTGGAAGTTTCCACCGATTGTTCCTTCTCGGACCATCGGAAGATAACACTCCAGGTATCGGTAGAGGTATTGCATCAAAAACCGCATAGACTCTGTGGACGAGTCCGTTAATTTGTTAACCAAAGTCCTGATTGGGAGCTACCTCCCCGGGAAAAAGGTGCCAACCTGCCTGGTGGTCGAAAGACCTAGTCCATCTCAGGAAGATAAGCAGACGCCTTTACAATAGGGCCAGCAAGACCAAACTGGGTACGGACTGGGAGGCTTACAAATCAGCCTTCAACAAGTATAAAAGTGAAATCAAGAAGGCCAAACGAAGGCCACAGAAGATGTCAACGCAGCCTCTAGAGGACGTTGGTCTGACTGAGAGGATTGTAAGCGCTCCCAAAATTTTGTGGGCTATATATTCATTCAAACCTTTCAAGTCACCGGGACCGGATGGCATTATTCCCACCATGCTACAGCTGCATCGACGGTAATAATACCACTTCTGGCGGCGATTTTTAAGGCTTGCCTGCGTCTCTCTCACATTCCACATCACTGTGGAGGGAAGTTATAGTCAATTACATTCCCAAGGCTGGAAAACCAAGATATGTGGTTCCAAAGGACTACAGGCCTATTAGTCTCTCATCATTTCTATTAAAAACGCTGGAGAGACTATTAGACACTGGCATTAATGTTATATTCATTGCTTCAATCTCTCTTTGCATTGGTTGGTTGTGGTATCAGCAAACGAGGAAACTAAATATCCCAAAGCTACGTGTCCAACTGCCCTCTATAGATTCGCAGATCTACGGGACGCAGATATTTAAGGAGGGAGGAGTTAACGACATTGGCGACACTGTCGCTTCTGCAACTTTAGCTCATTTCATTTTGATTGCAACACGCGCTTCCGATCCAATTTCGATATTGCAAGCGATGAGAAATTCTTTCTGCAGTATCAGCACCTGCATACTGGCGCGTGTTGGTCGAAGGAAATCAATAGAACCATCGAGCCAACAAAGTTGGAAGGCAACCGGCAGTCTTGGCTTTGGCTATTTCGAGTTCAGTTCATTAAATATTAATATCTTCTATGTAATTAATTATTTTGAGTATCATTAGGGGTAAAATTTATCACTGGAGATTTAGCATCAGAATCGGAGGTACCTCCCAAAAATTTAGATTTTATATGCACATACCTATTGATCGATTATTAGATAAAGTCTCCAAATTTGGAATGCATAACGGAATTTGGAACAAACAATTAATAATTTGCCAAATTATTTTGAAATCGGTTCAGATTTGGATATAGCTCCCATATATATTTTTGGCCGATTTCATGTGTTTGATGTATCAAAAACGCAGTGTGTGATGTATCAATGAAATGTGGAATGTGTGATGGAATTTGTCTGAAAAATTTGTTTGCTAAATTATATTGCAGCCATATATATTTTCGACCGATTTCGATTATTTGATGCAATTACAACATACATATGTTCTATGTTATTGAATTTGGAATGCGTGATGGAATTTGTTTGCCAAATTATATTGAAATCGGTTAAGATTAGGATATATTTTTTCGGCCGATGTCATGTATTTTATGCATCAAACACGATATGTGTGTTCAATTCCAATGAAATTCAAAATGTGTGGCAGAATTTGGTACAAAAATAAATTTGGCAAATTATATTGATATCGGTTAAGATTTGGAGATAGCTCCCATATATTTTCGGCCGATTTCACATATTTGATGCACCAAACACGATATGTACGTCCGATTCCAATGAAGTTTGGAATAAGGGATTCCAATGAAATTCGGAATAAGTGACGGAATATAGTACAATAATAAATAACGGTGAATAATAAATAACTCACAAAATATACCAATTTTTTTTTTTTAAATTATATTGAAATCGGTTCTGATGGGGATATGATTTTGTCCCACAACGTCTTTGCAATTGTGTTAGACTAACAGTAATAACTACACAACAATTTAATTGACGACTGGATTATTACGGAGACATATGCTGCTACCTCGAATTCTCTAATAACAATATTATTGGCTTTGATGAAAATTGCTTTGGAAATATTCAAGTTCAGTTGTAATCAATATGCTTATTACCACGTATGTATGGATAAAATTTACAGTTTTGTGGCGCAATGAATCTTTAGAGATATATAGAATATGGCTTGGGAAAGAAATGGCCACTTTATATACAACTTTTCCCAACTTAGCCTACCTTGTCTTCATAGCACCATGGCAACGTATTAGTTCTACCCATGGTACAATAAAAAGGTAATGTAGAGCTACCAGCTGATTACAATTTTTTTCTAAGTGTGACGGACTTGTGCCAACTTTGTGTATGTATTTATTGATTTGAAAAATAAAAAACATAATATTTTCAAAATCAATGATGGAAGAAACTCGCATAAGAATCTGCACTTGGATGTGTTTTACCATGGAGTTGAAAGATTGAACAGAAAAGTATGAAATAAATGAAAAAACTTGTTGTGTATAATTTTGAATAATTCAGACAGAAAGCGGGCATAGCCTCAGGGATGTATTTCTGTAGTTTTACGAGGCTGTTCTACCTCATCATTGTACCATGGTTCTACCCAAGGTGGAATGCAAAAGGTTAAGTCACACAAATCCCACGGCAGCGGCAACACTCCAGTTTCCAGTATATACATGTTCGTGTTTGTTTATTAATGGAAGCAGCACATCCCGGAGTGCTTGCTCCGGAATCTTTTGGCCCGATTTAAGTAATATGTAAATGTGCAACTTTGGAACTGATTTAAGTAAAATGTGGGTAAAGGTTAAGTCTGCCAACTCAGTGTATACACGTTCGTGTTTGTTTATTAATGGGAGCAGCACATACCGGAGTGCTTGCTCCGGATTCTTTTGGTCCGATTTAAGTAAAATGTAAATGTGCAACTTAGGAACCGATTTAAATAAAATGTGGGTAAAGGTTAAGTCACTCTCGAACCCCGGTAAAAAGGATGATAGGACAGCAGTTACATTTAACGACGTAAAGGTGACTGATCCGAAGAGGTGCGCTGCCCATCTTAACCGCCAATTTTTCGAGCACCCGGAAAGTGATGGGGCGAGGCAAAGAGTACTACATCGTATAAGAGCCGTTCCCGCCGAGGATGTACCTCCACAGTTTACGGTGGGTGATATTGCGAATGTCATCCAAAGCGTTGGGCCCAGATGGAATATCAATGGTAATGTTGAAGCAACTGGATACACCGGGAGTTGAGTATCTAACAAAATTCCTTAACCTGTCGTTAGCCACCACTGAAGTCAGGAAAGGATGCCAGCAAAAGCGAATCATACAGGCCACTTCCGATTTTGTCGCCAGTAGCAAAGACCCTCGAGGCTTTACTCCTCCCCAGCATTATTATCATTATTATTATTATTATTATTATTATTATTATTATTATTCTTATTATTATTATTATTATTATTATTATTATTATTATTATTATTATTATTATTATTATTATTATTATTATTATTATTATTATTATTATTATTATTATTATTATTATTATTATTATTATTATTATATTATTATTATTATTATTATTATTATTTTTATTATTATTACTATTAGTAATATTATTATTGTTATTATTACTATTATTATTATTATTATTATTATTATTATTATTATTATCATTATTATTATTATTATTATTATTATTATTATTATTATTATTATTATTATTATTATTATTATTATTATTATTATTATTATTATTATTTGACAACTTCTCATTATCAAGATATATGTTTATAAATCCATTGTAAATACGCAAATCAGAGATGGAAACCTAGTTTTTATATAGTGAAATTTGACAAGGTATATTACAGAAAATGTTGAGATGGTTATGCTTATTTCAAATTACAGTACCTTCTTAATTTTACCATGAGCCTACATTAGGTCGCCCACTAAGGCCATCTTACACAAAACACATGTTGTGATTTGAAATTCAAAGAGAATCAAAACACAATAGTGCAAAAACTACCAAGTTTATTATCAAAAGCTTCTTGGCTGATCTTAGGGTAAGAATACATAAAACGCTTTTTAGACTGGCTTAAGTTATCGGCTTCTTTGGAAAAGAACAATATTAAATGCCGCCATATGGCGATCCCACTTACGTTATGTTTTAATGTTTTTAATGTTAATGTTAATGTTTAATGTTTTTACTCTTTTATGGATGTGTGTTTTTGTGAGCTTGGTATATCCGTGAATTAATTGAATAAGTAAATCAGTTTAGTTTAGAAACAGTTATATATAAGTAATTCGCAGACTACAGGAATAGTCTTACGAATATTACGTAACTTTGGTTAGATACAGTTATATTTGATCATCTCGGGGACCACAGTATTAGTCTTCAGCAAACGAAAATAAATTATATAAAACGTTTGACATCGTTTCGTTCTGTAAATGAAACAACACCGATACTGCTTGTGTAGATGAGTGGAAACACAAAAAAATTAAATGTAATCAACTGGATAACGCAAAATTGGAAACGAAACAGTACAATACATATTGTAAACTATTGCAAACGTAAATAATGATAAACTAATATTACGTTAAATTTTTGTTTTTTTATTCACTTATTTAAAATCACGCATCTTAATGTACCAGTCATCGTTTCCCACAACAGCTCGGCAAATCACAGCCGAAGTTCATTGAGGCAATCGTATTGGTTGTGTACTTCTGGCATTGAAATATTTATGGTTTTGTTTGGAGCACAAAATGATTGAAACTTCGTGACTTCGTGTGAGCAGTACGTTGTTCTCATGGCGCAATAACAAAGTGTTCCTGCTAATTTTAAAAACCAGATGAAATTCCAAAATTGTTTTACAATTTTTCGGTTGTTGTTTATCTCTTGTTCTGTGATTTCAATCACAATAATGCATTTAAGATGGCTATTGTTTTTATTTGTTTTTGTGCGCTGATAGTCTTATCGACCGCATTTTCTAGAAGAAGTGGAGATTCGAAGGCGATAGGTCTCCTCAATTGTTTGTGGCTTTCCATAAGCTGTAATCTGGTCTTTTTGTTTGTTCTAGGTTATTTAGGAATATTTTTAAATTTCGCTATTCGTTTAATTTGATTGCATGTTTTAGCAGTTTTCTATTCTTTTCATTTGTCTCTGAGCCTGGGTGAGCGACCCCTCTACCATTCTCTTTTGGCTTTAATTTTTTCGGACACGATGTTATGGCAATTGGTTTGTTTCTCTGCTTTAAGGAAGTTTATGGGAGTAGGTAGTAAGGAGGCTGTCAGGTAGATATCACATCCAGTTTAGCGGGCAAAATCAAGATTAAAAGTTGTCTACCTCTGGATGTGATGAGTCTAGACTCCTGGAAATTGTGCTTAGCGTTATAATCGCATACTGCAATGAATCGAGCAAGATAACAAGGAATGTGAATTTGTCTTTGCTTATACCATTATACTCTATTACTTGAAAATACTTTGGAAGTATATTCTGTCTTTACGTGCTAAAATAACATTTATCAATTCTGTAAAATCTGTCACTCCTCATACGGAAATATTTTAGATATGAATATAGATTTTATTAGAAATATGTCAAGGTCGAGTTCGTCAGAAAATGATTGCCATATTCAATTTAGCCAATGAGTTTACCTTTATTGTTTTGTCATGAGAACCACTTAGATATATCTGTAACAAAACTTATTCAATTAATTCACGAATATATCTATATCAACAAGCTTATGAAAGCACGCATCCATAACTTAAAAACAAGTAAAAAACAGTATGTACGGCCGGGTCGAACTTTTAATATCCCGCACTAAACTACAAATAACTGAAAGACCGTTTGGATAAGGCAGTTAAGCTTTTGAAAAAATCATAAAGTGAGTGGGACCGCCATATGGGGGTCTGTTATCTATTGAAGGAGACCAAACCCTCCTCGCGGTTAACGCTGAAGGGAGGAGGGCAACTGAGGAAACGCTTCCCGAAGCATAGAAGCCGTCAAGGGGTAATGTTCCTCCTCCGCCGCCAGTGTCATCGACACTTGTTGTTGACGAAGGACTTTGCTAGGCTGGCCCTAGGTTTGTTAAGGTTAAACCTATAACCGCCAACCCGCAGCCTCCGAGCCAAACTAACAGGAAAAGGAATCATTCCCAAACCACCTACCAGGACAACCTCCGTGTAGCGGTCATCGACCAAGCTGAGCCGGAACGCAAAATCAGCGAAAGTCGGTGGCTTCTCATTGAGGACCTCTGAGAGAGTTGGTTTTCCTATGGGAAGATCCTTCACGGCTACAGTTCGCAGTGCTACCCTCTACAAAGGAGTGAAGGTCATCTGCTGCGAGAACGAGGAGTCCAAAACCTTCCTGTAGTAGCTGGCTTTCAAGGGCTTTGAGATGGAAGAGCACTTGCTGCTGTATCTCTAAAGGAAATTCCCTGTAGGAGAATATTGACAGCATGGGTGCCACCACCCTAGGGGATCCGACACGCGTGCTGACAATATTAGGAAAACAAAATCCCAACCTCAGTACGGAGAGTTGGCGTTTAGTCGGCTCAAGTACGGGGGGGGGGGGAGGTCTGGTCGTCAAAGTATCTATTGATACAGCTGGCCAGGACCACCTTCAGGCTCGTGGATAAAGCTGCACTTTGGCACATGAGGGATCCCAATCCGTCCAACGCCGACGTAGCAGTAGGAGGAAGAAGCCGCAACTGCTCAAAGTTGTGCATATTAATCTGCACCACGGTAAGACAGCCGCAGCTGAACTTCTCTTGTCTCTCACCAAGTTTGAAGTAGACATAGCCCTGGTCCAGGAACCTTATATAGTCAAAAATAGGTGACTTGGCTAGGGAGTGAGCGGTACATCACCTATGCTACATCCAATGGAGAAAAGGTTAGAACGTGTATCGTCGCTAAAAAGAACTTAAATTTTATCTTCCTAAATAATTTCAGCGGAGGAGACGCCACGGCGGGTTTGCCTCCATTTACCTACCCTTTGAGTACCCCAACCCGCCAGGAGAGTAGTAGAGAGGCTGTTCACGGAGTTGGGAAACAGAGGCAATCTCGTCGTTGGATGGATGCTAACGCTCACCATTTTAAATGGGGTACGAACGCAAGAGGTGAGTACATTTTTGATTTTATTTCAACACATAATCTCAAAATATGTAACAGGGAAAATGAGGCAGCTTTTAAAAATAGGAATACGGAGCAGGCTATTGATCTCATCCTTACTAACTTGGAAGTTTCCACCGATTGTTCCTTCTCGGACCATCGGAAGATAACACTCCAGGTATCGGTAGAGGTATTGCATCAAAAACCGCATAGACTCTGTGGACGAGTCCGTTAATTTGTTAACCAAAGTCCTGATTGGGAGCTACCTCCCCGGGAAAAAGGTGCCAACCTGCCTGGTGGTCGAAAGACCTAGTCCATCTCAGGAAGATAAGCAGACGCCTTTACAATAGGGCCAGCAAGACCAAACTGGGTACGGACTGGGAGGCTTACAAATCAGCCTTCAACAAGTATAAAAGTGAAATCAAGAAGGCCAAACGAAGGCCACAGAAGATGTCAACGCAGCCTCTAGAGGACGTTAGTCTGACTGAGAGGATTGTAAGCGCTCCCAAAATTTTGTGGGCTATATATTCATTCAAACCTTTCAAGTCACCGGGACCGGATGGCATTATTCCCACCATGCTACAGCATGCATCGACGGTAATAATACCACTTCTGGCGGCGATTTTTAAGGCTTGCCTGCGTCTCTCTCACATTCCACATCACTGTGGAGGGAAGTTATAGTCAATTACATTCCCAAGGCTGGAAAACCAAGATATGTGGTTCCAAAGGACTACAGGCCTATTAGTCTCTCATCATTTCTATTAAAAACGCTGGAGAGACTATTAGACACTGGCATTAATGTTATATTCATTGCTTCAATCTCTCTTTGCATTGGTTGGTTGTGGTATCAGCAAACGAGGAAACTAAATCTCCCAAAGCTACGTGTCCAACTGCCCTCTATAGATTCGCAGATCTACGGGACGCAGATATTTAAGGAGGGAGGAGTTAACGACATTGGCGACACTGTCGCTTCTGCAACTTTAGCTCATTTCATTTTGATTGCAACACGCGCTTCCGATCCAATTTCGATATTGCAAGCGATGAGAAATTCTTTCTGCAGTATCAGCACCTGCATACTGGCGCGTGTTGGTCGAAGGGAATCAATAGAACCATCGAGCCAACAAAGTTGGAAGGCAACCGGCAGTCTTGGCTTTGGCTATTTCGAGTTCAGTTCATTAAATATTAATATCTTCTATGTAATTAATTATTTTGAGTATCATTAGGGGTAAAATTTATCACTGGAGATTTAGCATCAGAATCGGAGGTACCTCCCAAAAATTTAGATTTTATATGCACATACCTATTGATCGATTATTAGATAAAGTCTCCAAATTTGGAATGCATAACGGAATTTGGAACAAACAATTAATAATTTGCCAAATTATTTTGAAATCGGTTCAGATTTGGATATAGCTCCCATATATATTTTTGGCCGATTTCATGTGTTTGATGTATCAAAAACGCAGTGTGTGATGTATCAATGAAATGTGGAATGTGTGATGGAATTTGTCTGAAAAATTTGTTTGCTAAATTATATTGCAGCCATATATATTTTCGACCGATTTCGATTATTTGATGCAATTACAACATACATATGTTCTATGTTATTGAATTTGGAATGTGTGATGGAATTTGTTTGCCAAATTATATTGAAATCGGTTAAGATTAGGATATATTTTTTCGGCCGATGTCATGTATTTTATGCATCAAACACGATATGTGTGTCCAATTCCAATGAAATTCAAAATGTGTGGCAGAATTTGGTACAAAAATAAATTTGGCAAATTATATTGATATCGGTTAAGATTTGGAGATAGCTCCCATATATTTTCGGCCGATTTCACATATTTGATGCACCAAACACGATATGTACGTCCGATTCCAATGAAGTTTGGAATAAGGGATTCCAATGAAATTCGGAATAAGTGACGGAATATAGTACAATAATAAATAATGGTGAATAATAAATAACTCACAAAATATACCAAATTTTTTTTTTAAATTATATTGAAATTGGTTCGGATGGGGATATGATTTTGTCCCACAACGTCTTTGCAATTGTGTTAGACTAACAGTAATAACTACACAACAATTTAATTGACGACTGGATTATTACGGAGACATATGCTGCTACCTCGAATTCTCTAATAACAATATTATTGGCTTTGATGAAAATTGCTTTGGAAATATTCAAGTTCAGTTGTAATCAATATGCTTATTACCACGTATGTATGGATAAAATTTACAGTTTTGTGGCGCAATGAATCTTTAGAGATATATAGAATATGGCTTGGGAAAGAAATGGCCACTTTATATACAACTTTTCCCAACTTAGCCTACCTTGTCTTCATAGCACCATGGCAACGTATTAGTTCTACCCATGGTACAATAAAAAGGTAATGTAGAGCTACCAGCTGATTACAATTTTTTTCTAAGTGTGACGGACTTGTGCCAACTTTGTGTATGTATTTATTGATTTGAAAAATAAAAAACATAATATTTTCAAAATCAATGATTGGAAGAAACTCGCATAAGAATCTGCACTTGGATGTGTTTTACCATGGAGTTGAAAGATTGAACAGAAAAGTATGAAATAAATGAAAAAAACTTGTTGTGTATAATTTTGAATAATTCAGACAGAAAGCGGGCATAGCCTCAGCGATGTATTTCTGTAGTTTTACGAGGCTGTTCTACCTCATCATTGTACCATGGTTCTACCCAAGGTGGAATGCAAAAGGTTAAGTCACACAAATCCCACGGCAGCGGCAACACTCCAGTTTCCAGTATATACATGTTCGTGTTTGTTTATTAATGGAAGCAGCACATCCCGGAGTGCTTGCTCCGGAATCTTTTGGCCCGATTTAAGTAATATGTAAATGTGCAACTTTGGAACTGATTTAAGTAAAATGTGGGTAAAGGTTAAGTCTGCCAACTCAGTGTATACACGTTCGTGTTTGTTTATTAATGGGAGCAGCACATACCGGAGTGCTTGCTCCGGATTCTTTTGGTCCGATTTAAGTAAAATGTAAATGTGCAACTTAGGAACCGATTTAAATAAAATGTGGGTAAAGGTTAAGTCACTCTCGAACCCCGGTAAAAAGGATGATAGGACAGCAGTTACATTTAACGACGTAAAGGTGACTGATCCGAAGAGGTGCGCTGCCCATCTTAACCGCCAATTTTTCGAGCACCCGGAGAGTGATGGGGCGAGGCAAAGAATACTACGTCGTATAAGAGCCCTTCCCGCCGAGGATGTACCTCCACAGTTTACGGTGGGTGATATTGCGATTGTCATCCAAAGCGTTGGGCCCAGATGGAATATCAATGGTAATGTTGAAGCAACTGGATACACCGGGAGTTGAGTATCTAACAAAATTCCTTAACCTGTCGTTAGCCACCACTGAAGTCAGGAAAGGATGCCAGCAAAAGCGAATCATACAGGCCACTTCCGATTTTGTCGCCAGTAGCAAAGACCCTCGAGGCTTTACTCCTCCCCAGTATTAGAAAGAGTTATTCGGTTGCTAACCATCAAAACGGTTTCCGCCCACAACATAGTAGTGGGCTGTTTAAGATATGTGGTTCTTCTTCGATGTCTGGGTTTAGGAATTCAGCTACCTTTATGGGCTAGAATAAAGGTAGCTGAATTCCTAAACCCAGACATGGAAGTAGAACCACATATCTTAAACAGTTTTTTCAAAATTATTCTTATTATTATTATTATTATTATTATTATTATTATTATTATTATTATTATTATTATTATTATTATTATTATTGTTATTATTATTATTATTATTATTATTATTATTATTATTATTATTATTATTATTATGATTATTATTATTATTATTATTATTATTATTATTATTATTATTATTATTATTATTATTATTATTATTATTATTATTATTATTATTATTATTATTATTATTATTATTATTATTATTATTATTATTATTATTATTATTATTATATTATTATTATTATTATTATTATTATTATTATTATTATTATTATTATTATTATTATTATTATTATTATTATTATTATTATTTGACAACTTCTCATTATCAAGATATATGTTTATAAATCCATTGTAAATACGCAAATCAGAGATGGAAACCTTGTTTTTATATAGTGAAATTTGACAAGGTATATTACAGAAAATGTTGAGATGGTTATGCTTATTTCAAATTACAGTACCTTCTTAATTTTACCATGAGCCTACATTAGGTCGCCCACTAAGGCCATCTTACACAAAACACATGTTGTGATTTGAAATTCAAAGAGAATCAAAACACAATAGTGCAAAAACTACCAAGTTTATTATCAAAAGCTTCTTGGCTGATCTTAGGGTAAGAATACATAAAACGCTTTTTAGACTGGCTTAAGTTATCGGCTTCTTTGGAAAAGAACAATATTAAATGCCGCCATATGGCGATCCCACTTACGTTATGTTTTAATGTTTTTAATGTTAATGTTAATGTTTAATGTTTTTACTCTTTTATGGATGTGTGTTTTTGTGAGCTTGGTATATCCGTGAATTAATTGAATAAGTAAATCAGTTTAGTTTAGAAACAGTTATATATAAGTAATTCGCAGACTACAGGAATAGTCTTACGAATATTACGTAACTTTGGTTAGATACAGTTATATTTGATCATCTCGGGGACCACAGTATTAGTCTTCAGCAAACGAAAATAAATTATATAAAACGTTTGACATCGTTTCGTTCTGTAAATGAAACAACACCGATACTGCTTGTGTAGATGAGTGGAAACACAAAAAAATTAAATGTAATCAACTGGATAACGCAAAATTGGAAACGAAACAGTACAATACATATTGTAAACTATTGCAAACGTAAATAATGATAAACTAATATTACGTTAAATTTTTGTTTTTTTATTCACTTATTTAAAATCACGCATCTTAATGTACCAGTCATCGTTTCCCACAACAGCTCGGCAAATCACAGCCGAAGTTCATTGAGGCAATCGTATTGGTTGTGTACTTCTGGCATTGAAATATTTATGGTTTTGTTTGGAGCACAAAATGATTGAAACTTCGTGACTTCGTGTGAGCAGTACGTTGTTCTCATGGCGCAATAACAAAGTGTTCCTGCTAATTTTAAAAACCAGATGAAATTCCAAAATTGTTTTACAATTTTTCGGTTGTTGTTTATCTCTTGTTCTGTGATTTCAATCACAATAATGCATTTAAGATGGCTATTGTTTTTATTTGTTTTTGTGCGCTGATAGTCTTATCGACCGCATTTTCTAGAAGAAGTGGAGATTCGAAGGCGATAGGTCTCCTCAATTGTTTGTGGCTTTCCATAAGCTGTAATCTGGTCTTCTTGTTTGTTCTAGGTTATTTAGGAATATTTTTAAATTTCGCTATTCGTTTAATTTGATTGCATGTTTTAGCAGTTTTCTATTCTTTTCATTTGTCTCTGAGCCTGGGTGAGCGACCCCTCTACCATTCTCTTTTGGCTTTAATTTTTTCGGACACGAGTTTTAGAATGGTCGATGTTATGGCAATTGGTTTGTTTCTCTGCTTTAAGGAAGTTTGTGGGAGTAGGTAGTAAGGAGGCTGTCAGGTAGATATCACATCCAGTTTAGCGGGCAAAATCAAGATTAAAAGTTGTCTACCTCTGGATGTGATGAGTCTAGACTCCTGGAAATTGTGCTTAGCGTTATAATCGCATACTGCAATGAATCGAGCAAGATAACAAGGAATGTGAATTTGTCTTTGCTTATACCATTATACTCTATTACTTGAAAATACTTTGGAAGTATATTCTGTCTTTACGTGCTAAAATAACATTTATCAATTCTGTAAAATCTGTCACTCCTCATACGGAAATATTTTAGATATGAATATAGATTTTATTAGAAATATGTCAAGGTCGAGTTCGTCAGATAATGATTGCCATATTCAATTTAGCCAATGAGTTTACCTTTATTGTTTTGTCATGAGAACCACTTAGATATATCTGTAACAAAACTTATTCAATTAATTCACGAATATATCTATATCAACAAGCTTATGAAAGCACGCATCCATAACTTAAAAACAAGTAAAAAACAGTATGTACGGCCGGGTCGAACTTTTAATATCCCGCACTAAACTACAAATAACTGAAAGACCGTTTGGATAAGGCAGTTAAGCTTTTGAAAAAATCATAAAGTGAGTGGGACCGCCATATGGGGGTCTGTTATCTATTGAAGGAGACCAAACCCTCCTCGCGGTTAACGCTGAAGGGAGGAGGGCAACTGAGGAAACGCTTCCCGAAGCATAGAAGCCGTCAAGGGGTAATGTTCCTCCTCCGCCGCCAGTGTCATCGACACTTGTTGTTGACGAAGGACTTTGCTAGGCTGGCCCTAGGTTTGTTAAGGTTAAACCTATAACCGCCAACCCGCAGCCTTCGAGCCAAACTAACAGGAAAAGGAATCATTCCCAAACCACCTACCAGGACAACCTCCGTGTAGCGGTCATCGACCAAGCTGAGCCGGAACGCAAAATCAGCGAAAGTCGGTGGCTTCTCATTGAGGACCTCTGAGAGAGTTGGTTTTCCTATGGGAAGATCCTTCACGGCTACAGTTCGCAGTGCTACCCTCTACAAAGGAGTGAAGGTCATCTGCTGCGAGAACGAGGAGTCCAAAACCTTCCTGTAGTAGCTGGCTTTCAAGGGCTTTGAGATGGAAGAGCACTTGCTGCTGTATTTCGAAAGGAAATTCCCTGTAGGAGAATATTGACAGCATGGGTGCCACCACCCTAGGGGATCCGACACGCGTGCTGACAATATTAGGAAAACAAAATCCCAACCTCAGTACGGAGAGTTGGCGTTTAGTCGGCTCAAGTACGGGGGGGGGGAGGTCTGGTCGTCAAAGTATCTATTGATACAGCTGGCCAGGACCACCTTCAGCCTCGTGGATAAAGCTGCACTTTGGCACATGAGGGATCCCAATCCGTCCAACGCCGACGTAGCAGTAGGAGGAAGAAGCCGCAGCTGCTCAACGTTGTGCATATTAATCTGCACCACGGTAAGACAGCCGCAGCTGAACTTCTCTTGTCTCTCACCAAGTTTGAAGTAGACATAGCCCTGGTCCAGGAACCTTATATAGTCAAAAATAGGTGACTTGGCTAGGGAGTGAGCGGTACATCACCTATGCTACATCCAATGGAGAAAAGGTTAGAACGTGTATCGTCGCTAAAAAGAACTTAAATTTTATATTCCTAAATAATTTCAGTGGAGGAGACGCCACGTACCCTTTGAGTACCCCAACCCGCCAGGAAAGTAGTAGAGAGGCTGTTCACGGAGTTGGGAAACAGAGGTCGTTGGATGGATGCTAACGTCGTTGGATGGATGCTAACGCTCACCATTTTAAATGGGGTACGAACGCAAGAGGTGAGTACATTTTTGATTTTATTTTAACACATAATCTCAAAATATGTAACAGGGAAAATGAGGCAGCTTTTAAAAATAGGAATACGGAGCAGGCTATTGATCTCATCCTTACTAACTTGGAAGTTTCCACCGATTGTTCCTTCTCGGACCATCGGAAGATAACACTCCAGGTATCGGTAGAGGTATTGCATCAAAAACCGCATAGACTCTGTGGACGAGTCCGTTAATTTGTTAACCAAAGTCCTGATTGGGAGCTACCTTCCCGGGAAAAAGGTGCCAACCTGCCTGGTGGTCGAAAGACCTAGTCCATCTCAGGAAGATAAGCAGACGCCTTTACAATAGGGCCAGCAAGACCAAACTGGGTACGGACTGGGAGGCTTACAAATCAGCCTTCAACAAGTATAAAAGTGAAATCAAGAAGGCCAAACGAAAGCCTTGGGTTTGCTTTACTGAGTCCACAGAAGATGTCAACGCAGCCTCTAGAGGACGTTGGTCTGACTGAGAGGATTGTAAGCGCTCCCAAAATTTTGTGGGCTATATATTCATTCAAACCTTTCAAGTCACCGGGACCGGATGGCATTATTCCCACCATGCTACAGCATGCATCGACGGTAATAATACCACTTCTGGCGGCGATTTTTAAGGCTTGCCTGCGTCTCTCTCACATTCCACATCACTGTGGAGGGAAGTTATAGTCAATTACATTCCCAAGGCTGGAAAACCAAGATATGTGGTTCCAAAGGACTACAGGCCTATTAGTCTCTCATCATTTCTATTAAAAACGCTGGAGAGACTATTAGACACTGGCATTAATGTTATATTCATTGCTTCAATCTCTCTTTGCATTGGTTGGTTGTGGTATCAGCAAACGAGGAAACTAAATCTCCCAAAGCTACGTGTCCAACTGCCCTCTATAGATTCGCAGATCTACGGGACGCAGATATTTAAGGAGGGAGGAGTTAACGACATTGGCGACACTGTCTCTTCTGCAACTTAAGCTCATTTCATTTTGATTGCAACACGCACTTCCGATCCAATTTCGATATTGCAAGCGATGAGAAATTCTTTCTGCAGTATCAGCACCTGCATAATGGCGCGTGTTGGTTGAACGGAATCAATACAACCAGCCAACAAAGTTGGAAGGCAACCGGCAGTCTTGGCTTTGGCTATTTCGAGTTCAGTTCATTAAATATTAATATCTTCTATGTAATTAATTATTTTGAGTATCATTAAACTGTGAATCGTTATAATTGTTAAAAAGTTAAATATCCGTGTTTTATTTAATCACGGAAGCGCCTTGGAATTAATTTTTTTATTCGCGATCGTGTAAAATTCTTTAACTGGCGCCCGAGCAGGGACCCTGACTTAAGTGCTTAGTGGTCCTGTGAGTTATAAATTAATTCACAAAATCTAACTCCTCCTTCGCTAATCCAGTATTCCTGATAGTTATCCAACCGAAACATATAACCGTAGGTTACCGAGGCGGAAGTGAAGTAAACCGTACCTCAGTAGGTATCCACGATCATAAAAGTGGATCTCCAAACCGGAGAAATACGGTCCTTCCATGAGGAGTAAAAGGGGTTTAAACGTCGCGTCGCGCTGCCTAGCCAAAGCTCACCAAAATATAAAAATTCATTCAAAAAATAATAAAAATTGAGAAATAAAGAAGTTTTTTATATATAAAGAAAGAGTTGAATACAAAAATAAATGGAAAATTAAGAAAGAATAAATATAAAGAAGAATTTTTTTATAAAAAAAAGTAAAGTGAAGTGAAAACAAAAAGGATCTTCTTCATAAAAAGAATTGAAAATTAAAAAATAATAAAATTGAGATATAAAGAAGTTTTTTATTTAAAAAGAAGAGAAGAAGTTAAATACAGAAAAAAATTGAAAATTAAAAAAGAATAAATATAAAGAAGAATTTTTTTATAAAAAAAGTAAAGTGAAGTGAAAACAAGAAGGACCTTCTTCATAAAGGACATAACAGGTACGTGAATAATTTTATTTCTCCCCCTTGTCAACAATTAGAAATGGAGGAACTTAGGGCCACGGTAACGACCATGACTGGAGCCATAAATCGGTTTATGGAACAGATGAAGTCGGTAGAAAACAGGATAGGGACGATAGAAGCTAGTTTGAGCAACAATGCTTTAGGAAATGTCTTGGATAGAATAGAGCGTCTAGAAAATAGGCGATACCACCACTGGTCACCGACGAAGGATCTCTTCAACGACGGCGGACTGAAACATAGTTAAAAGATATAAGTCGCCTCCCCGACAGTGTGAAAGAGTTAAGAACCTTTGAAGGCAATCGCACTCAGTATATTTCCTGGGTTCATTCAGTGGAAACTATACTGAAGGACTTTGAAATAGTTAGGGACAAACCTATTTATCGAGCAATTATACAAAGTGTCCGTCAAAAAGTTACGGGCGCTGCCGACACAGCCCTGGTATCCTACAATGTATTTGGCAGTGATTGGACGGAAATAAAAAGAATACTTTCCCTGCACTACGCTGATAAACGGGATCAGCTCAACCAGCTGTCTCAGGGATCCTCAAGCGTAGATGAGTTTTATTCGACAGTCAACCATCAACTCTCACTCATCATTAATAAATTAAAAACAGAGTCCCACAGTGAGGAAACGATCAAAGCCTTAGTAGGAACATACAGGAATAGAGCGTTAGACATATTCATACGCGGATTAAAACCGTAGCTTTCCCGTATGATTATAATACAGCGGCCAGGAACGTCGCCTGAAGCGTATTCCGCTTGTTTGGAGTTACAAAATCTGACCATGCGAAATAACATAATTTATTCGAAGACGAAGGCTTATGATTCAATCTCCACAGAAACGACTTATCGTCCTGGGCCTTCAAGACCTCCAAAATCAATCCCTAAGCGATCGGGATGGCTGAATAAAAATTCTCAGCCTAGAAATTGGGAGCATAATAACAATAATTCTAACTTTCGGGTAAATGAACATGCGAATCATAATAAGCCAGCGTTACCTCCACGGTATCCGGCCATAAAACACGAACCAATGGATATTGATAGGACAATACAATCTCGTCGGGTAAATTACATTAACCAACCTAGGACAGCTGAAAAAAGAGGCGCATATGAAGCAAGAACAGGGCATAAACAGGCAAAACTTGATCACATGGAAACTTTTTCTGACGAGGACCTCATGGCTGAAAATGGGCTGGAGAGAGACTCTTGTCAGGAAGAAACTGTAGGCGAAGTAAATTTTATGGGGGAAGGCCATCAAGCTCGTTGAGTTTTATGTGAGCCCGTTGAGTTTTATGTTTTGCCAACGCTTAAAACCTTTGATGGTATAATAGGAGACGACACCCTTAAAGAGTTAGGTGCTTTAGTTGATAGAAAGGAGAATGTTTTACTTTTAAAAAATTGTTTTAAAATTCCATTAAAAGAAAAAGTAACAAATGAATCAAATTATGTATTAGGCGAAGAGTATGCACTAGAGGTCAGGAAAAGAATATAAAGCCTCATTGATAAATACAAACCACTTTTTGGACCACTTGATGGTAGCGAACTTGCCTCGACAAACGTTCAAGCAGAAATAAGGACAACTACGGAAGAACCAATATATACTAAAAGTTATCCGTACCCAGTCTGTATGAGGGAAGAGGTAGAACGACAGATACAGGAATTACTTTCGGAGGGAGTTATAAGACCTTTAAACAGTCCTTACAATTCACCTATTTGGGTAGTGCCCAAAAAACCTAAACCTAATGGTGAAAAGCAATACCGAATGGTAGTGGACTTTAAACGCCTAAATGCTGTGACAATTTCAGATACCTACCCAATTCCGGACATTACGTCGACTTTAGCTAGTCTAGGTAAATCAAAGTATTTTACAACGATAGATCTTACATCAGGCTTTCATCAAATAGCCATGAAATCAAGGGACATCCCAAAGACTGCTTTTTCAACGGCAAACGGTAAATATGAATTCTTAAGATTGCCTTTTGGCCTTAAGAATGCGCCTGCAATATTTCAGAGGATGATAGATGATGTCCTCCGTGAGTATATAGGAAAACTCTGTTTTGTATACATTGACGATGTAGTAGTAATTGGAGAAAATATAGAAAATCACTTGAGGAATATAGAAATTATTTTTGGGATACTTCGCGAGGCTAATCTTAAGGTGAATCTTGATAAAACACATTTCATGAAATCGGAGGTGGAATTTCTTGGCTATATCGTTGATTCTGAAGGAATCAAACCGGATCCAGCCAAGGCAGAGTCCATTGAAAATTTGTTACCCCCCACGAACTTGAAAGAGTTGAAAAGCTTTTTAGGAATGACTTCCTACTATAGGAGATTTATTCGAGATTATGCTAAAGTCGCAAAACCCCTTACAAATCTTACAAGAGGCGAATATGCCCAAGTAAAAGCCAGTCAATCCAAAAAGGTGCCAATTACACTAAATAACGAGTCCTTAAAGTCTTTCGATAGACTGAAATCTATGTTAACTACAGCAGAGCTACTATCTTTCCCTGACTTTGAGAAGCCTTTTAACTTAACAACAGATGCCTCTAATACCGCGTTATGTGCCGTTCTGTCACAAGGCGAAGTGGGAAAGGATAAACCCATAGCATACATATCTCGGTCTCTCAATAAAACTGAGGAAAACTATGCCACGAACGAGAAAGAGATGCTAGCCATTGTATGGGCCCTTGATAATCTCAGAAATTACTTATACGGGGCAAAGAAAATCAGGATCTATACTGATCACCAGCCTTTGATGTTTGAGCTAGGGAATAGGAATTTTAATGCTAAATTAAAACGGTGGAAGGCACGTATAGAGGAATATAACCACGAGTTGATTTATAAACCTGGTAAATCAAACTATGTGGCTGATGCTCTTTCAAGGTTAAAGACCGCTTCACATCATTTATATCACTCTTCTACTGAAACTTCGAGTGAGGGAATGAGCACGAACTCAGATGAAACTCTAACTGCTTCAGAGAGTCGAGAAGATGATCTTTCATCAATGGCAACAGTTCACAGTGCAGAACACGATGCCTCTGACTTGATACCCCATGTGGAGGTACCTATAAACGTCTTTAGGAATCAGATTATATTAAGAATGGGAATGGACATGACAGCGATCGAAGAACCACACCGTGGGTATACGAGACATTTCATTTCCTCGAAAAATTGGTCTCAGGAAAAACTTATAACTCTGCTCAAGGAAAAACTTCGACCAAATATCCTTAACGGAATAAAAGCACCAGAAGGTCTTCTTGGTGACTTACAAGAAGTTTATATCGATCATTTCTCAAAATATAAAGTGAGAATTGCTCAGAAACTAGTTACAGATATAACTTCAAAAGAACGTCAATTGGAAATAATAGAAACCGAACATAGAAGAGCTCATCGTAATCCCAGAGAAAATGGTGAACAAATTTTAGAGCAATTCTACTTTCCGCATATGCGCGCTAACATCAGGAAATACGTCGCTAGCTGTGACGTTTGTAATAGATACAAGTACGACAGAAAACCTCCACAAATACATCGTCAAGAAACACCTGATCCTAAATTTCCTTGCGAAATCCTCCACATGGACATCATGGAAATTCAGGAACAAAAATTCATTACTTGTATAGACAAGTTTACCAAATTCGCTAAATTCTTTGCTATTAAGGATAGATCGTTGGTCCAAGTACAGAAAAAAATAATTAAAGTTTTGCATTATTTCACAGTGCCAAAAATTCTTGTTACTGATAACGAACGTAGCTTCCTAAGCCCCTTGATTGAATCATTAATCAAATCCCTGGGTATTAAATTATATCTAACGCCGGTACAAAGAAGTGAAGTAAACGGGCAGGTTGAACGACTACATTCAACAATAATTGAAATTTATAGATGTCTAAGAGTTGAATATCCGAATCTATCAGTAAAAGAATTAATTGAAGTATGTGTAGATAGATACAATAATACTATCCATTCAACTACAAAGAAAAGACCATGTGACTTTTTTTTTAATAGAAATGGCAAAGCGAATTACGCAAATCTTTTATCTGAACAAAAGAAAGTTAATACGGACCTCAGGCAGTTACTTAAAAAACACATGGCAAATCGCAATGCAAAAATGAATAAAAAAAAGCCAAAAAATATAGAAAGGGAGATAGAATATATGTAGCCATTAAAACCATCAAATGGAAAAACAAAGCGCTATGTAGGAAAGAAATAGTTGACAAAGACAATA